TGCGCTACAGGCATATAAATTGTGAAGGCATTTTGCCGAGCCAAAAAAAAAAAAAAAAATCGTCAAAGAGGGCGGTGTTAGCTCAGCGAGACATTCCACGGCCTTCCAGGCCTTTCCAAAATAATGCAGGCCCTGGACGAGAATCGCAGGCTCATACACAAACAGTTGGGAGGCCCAACCGAATGAGGCCCAGTAGCTGCAACAGAGGCGCAGCATCCTGGAGCGTACCGGAAGCTTCTGGGCCCAGGCCCAGGCCAGCCAAGCTGCGAAGGCAGGCAGGCAGGCTTTTCCATATAGGAAAGAGTTCGCTGCCTGAAGCCTCATTCAGCACTTGCATGCTGGCGGCAGCGCTGCTGGAGCGGACGCTCGTGGGCTGCTGCTGGCGCTGAGAGGCAAGGTGCTAGCACGTGCGGTTGTGCAGGGAGCAGGGCGCTGCTGAGGGCAGCGCCATAGCCCAGCCTCCATAGCTGGATGGGCTTGGACTACAGTGAGGCGCGGGGGTGGTCTTCGGGTGTACAGAGGGAAGAAGTGGGTGAAGAAGAGGGAGAGAGAGAAGGATGATGATCATGATGATGTGAGGGCACGTACCTGGTATTGGCGATGGTCTGCATGTGCGACATATTCAAGTACTTCGGAAGTACTTCGGAGGCTGCTGACGTCAACAGTTGCATTGTCAATTAGTAGGCTAGTTGTAGCTGTGTAGGAAGTAGGCTGGGCGCCGAGCGCCAAGTAGGGAGATAGGGCATGGGCACTCATGTGGTGGTGGCGAGAGCAAGCTCTCATTGACATTGGTTTTCAGTGTTACGATTCTTCATTGGTGTTATATTGGTGCATTTCTGCTTTCTGGACACTGTGATACAATCTGGCCTTCAATGTGATTGTCCATGGTGGACATTGTCATCTCGCCATTGCTCATTTTCCTTGCATAAGGTTCGAAAAAATATTAATTTTTTTCATGCCCCGAAATAAAGGGAAAACAAAAAGTGAAAAGAGAGAAAAAACAAATTAGTGAGTGGGCCAGCAAGTTTTGACACCACCATCTTTGCCGATTTTTCATTATTTTTTTGCTCCACAGAATGCCTTCAAAATTAAGAGGCAGGTAGCTTACATTACAAAGAACTAAAAAAAAAACAATAAAAAAAACAAATAATATTTACTATTTAGGCGCCGAAATATTTTTTTGTGGGGTCTGAAACCCTTTGGGTTCGGGGCCCGTACGGGGACCCGAATGCCCGAACGTTCGGGGGTCAGCTTAGGGTCCTCCGTAAGTTCGGCCTGGCAACCCTGGATATATATATATATATATGCCTACGGTTTACCGGGCAGTTCTATTTGACGATATATATATATATATATATATATATATATATATATATATGTAAACTTTTTTTTTTATGTTTTTTTGGCCCAGCCGGGCAAGTGGTCCCTGGCCACTCTGGTAGCCTAGTACAGAGGAATATACAAGTGCCGTACGAATAAGAATCACGGCATACTCACACTAAGACTTCCATTTTCGGCCTAGCTCAGTTGGTAAGGCTCGCAAGTGGCATTCAGGAGGTCGTGGGTTCAATCCCCATTTGCCTCATGTACCTTCCTGGGCATGCTTGGCGCCCGCCACCTAGAGATAGACCACTGGATCCCCCGATTGGCATTTAGCAGAGTCTGCTGATGTTCATAGGGGAGGGGACCTGAGGAGAGGCACAGGGATTGGTACTGTTGGCATGGTCCCTGATGCTACCAGCTGTCCCCTAGCCGGTATCGCCCACCTGCAGGTTGGGAGCAGCCCCCGCATGTTCTCTCGTGAACACGGTTCTCGCTGCTACGGGGTTCCCCATATGCCTACAATTAGGAGTAGTGGCAGGTAGGTAATGTGAGGTGAAATTGAGAGAAGAATATAGCTTTAAAAATATATATATATATACTTCCATTTTCTTTTTTGATGTAATTTTGCTCAGATACATCGAGGCCTGGCCGTAAACGTGGTCAGATGCATTAAAGATAGCGCCTAGTGTGAGTATGCCCTCAGCCAACAGGGAAGAAGAACAACAAGAACACGAAACATAAGAGTCAGGTGCCTCCCCACTTACCAGCACTGACTGAAGAAGAAGAATTTCCAGCCAAGTACTCTATCTGACGATGACAATTGGCAACGCCACAATCTAACAACAGAAAAATAGAAGAACAAAGGCGAAGAAGAAAAAGAAGAGGAAGAAGACGAAGACAAAGAGGAAGAGGAAGAGGAAGAAGACGAAGAAGAAGACGAAGAAGAAGAAGAAGAAGAAGAAGAAGAAGAAGACAACTTGAATGCACAATGCCCATCCCTCCATCCTTTTTTTTGTTTTGTTTTGTTTTGGTGGGAGCCACACACACATAGTAGTGAGGTGTGGTGAGTACCAAAACACAAATATACTGTGCGAGTCCCCGGGCAGCCCGGCTGGGGGAAGGTCGCCAGGGTACCCTCCCGGACCGGGCGATCCCAGCGCATAATATTCTAAAAAATAGAAGAAAAGAAATCCAAAAAATCCAAAAAAAAAATCTGTTGTGTAAAATTGCAATACAAACGACTTTTGGCTGAGGGCCACCTAGAAATTCCTTCTTAATTTCAAGATAAAAATAAATGAGAAAACCCGAGTCCCAAAAGACTCCAAATGTACCCTTTTAAGCCCTTTAGTCACTGTTTATACCCCCCAACCCCCCCCTGGATGACCCATCACCAAAACCGAAGTTAAGACCGGATTCTGACTGCTTGGGCCAAGCGCAGTCCTGGCCTGAAGTCTTTTTTTTTTGGGGGGGGGGATCCTTGACTCTTTTTTGACCCGTCTGGTTTTGCCGGGCGACCCCCCTTCTGCCCAACTGGCCCGGGCATGCCTGACCGGGCGTGCCGGCCCGGGCGACGGCCCAACATAGAAATATACGCATAAGATGAGTGTTCATAGTCAGAGCTGTGCCTGCCTCAATGGCAGCTGAATGGCGGTAGTCACAGAGAGGACTGTTCATAGTTGCACCACCTCACTGCCGCCAAAGGAACAATGTTGCACGTTTTGACATCAACCTTCCCACTACAACGCCAATGAGCAAAATACCCCTGCTCCTGAGTCCTTACTCAATTCCAAGCCAGGATGTGCCCTATCATTATAGATGTATTTGGGCAAACTTCCAGTCCTCCTTCCTCTCCCTTCTTCTTCTTCTTCTTCTTCTTATTATTATTATTATTATTATTATTATTATTATTATTATTATTGTAATTATTATTGTAATTATTATTTTCTTGTATTTGGGGGACATGGAATAAGTATTGCAGACTTGGTGCAGGCCCCAGTTGGGCCCATGTTCATAGTCTCACAAAGCACCGGGTACATTGTGCCAGGGGAGTCGAACCCTCATGTCGCAAAGGGCCCCTTCCGCCGCGGCGGGTGATTCAAGTTGCTTTGTGACCTTTATAATGAAAATTCAAAATTTTAAACTTTCCTCCGAGAAAAAGAAAGGTGTTCATTCTAACTCCCAAGGGGAGCTTGGGAAAAAGGGTCTGGAAAGGTGAAGCTTGCACAAAGAAGTGTTTTTCAGCAATGACCTTTTCCAAAGGGTGAATGAAGCTTTGGAAAAAAAAGAGCTTTTCTCAGGGAAAAAGAAAGGTGTTCCGACTCTTCCGCATTCATTCCACCTTCCAAGGGGAGTTTAGAAAGAGGGTCTGAAAAGGTGGAATGAACTGGGAACACCTTTCTTTTTCCCTGAGCAAAGCTCTTTTTTTTTTCTTCTTTTTTTTTAATAATTAAGGCCACACAACAACCATCCAAAGCTTGTCGAAAGAAAGCGTTGTTCGGTAAGAAACGTTTCCAAAGGTTTATATATGATGTCTGGCAGTGTACTAAGGAAAAGAACTTTGTCAACTACGCTGTTTGCCCGGGCACCCAACTTGTGCCCCGATACACGCCTGGGTGCCCAGCCGGGCATGAGCGCCGCGCAGGAATCCAAGCAGCCCGAGCACCCAAAAAAAAACAAAAAACAAAATCGAAAAATTCCAGGAAAAAATATGTTGCGTAGAATTGCCATACAAACGACTTTTCGCTGAGGGCCGCATCGGAATTCCTCACCGAAAAAAAAAAAGAAAAGAGAGAGACAACAGAATCAGACTAAGGGACCCCCCTTTAACCCCCTTCAGCCCCTAAAAAACCAATTTATACCTCCGGGAAAACCCAGCAGCCCACACGGCTGAATGAGGCGGTGAGGTGGTAGATAAAAATACACACGTACTAGCTGTTGATGAACACCTCATGAGTTCGAGTCCTGACGGAATCAACCACATGACAAGACGAATGGCGAGGAAAAAGAAAAAAAGGTGTGAAGCTCAAGGGTACTGATTTTTGTGTAGTGCAATACAAAGCAACCACGAGTGCATGGTTGATTTCATCATTCAGTGAAACTCGCTAGTGTATTCAAAAAAAAAAAAAAAAAAAAGATTCCATCACTCAATTCTGTGAACAGACACAGATTGAGAGCCGCAAAGGGCCAAGCAAAATGAGAATGGACACTGTTAAACTACACAGTAGTCCCAACTGGTCCCAACTGGTCCTTATCGGACACACTGTTCAACTAGTCCGAACAAAAATACAAAGGCAGACCCCCACGTGCTCCATTTGGACACAGAAATCCATAATTATTGCCTCCGTCTCTCTCTCTCTCTCTCTCTCTCTCTCTCTCTCTCTCTCTCTCTCTCTCTCTCTCTCTCTCTCTCTCTCTCTCTCTCTCTCTCTCTCTTAGACACACTTAGACATACACCGTGGACACCCTTAAAACGAGAAAAGAAGGGTTCGCACTCGTCGTTCAGTACGAGGTCACCCCTTGGGACCGCCGGTCCCAAAAGGAGTTCTCTTGGACTCCGTTTTGCCCTTTGATGCCTTCGATCGGACTGATCTTCACAAAGACTTTTAAGGCATTTTCACTACTTCGCCACCACGCTGCTGGGAACGGAAGAGGGTGATCGAGATGAGAGGAGAGGAGAGGAGAGGAGAGGACATTCATTACTTCAAAAGGCAAAAAGAAAAAAAGAGGAGGAGGAGGAGTCTTGGTAAAAGACGACTATGGCCACTGCAGATAAAGAAAGAATCTTGAGGCTCGATCCGCCGACCTGCTATTCTGAAAGCAGCCCGCCAGAAGCTCGACGCTGAGACGAACAGACTGACAGACAGACAGGAAGACAGGCAGGAAGACAGACAAAAACTGTGTGCATATCAAATTATCAATGCACAGAGGGGAGCAGAGTTGATTAAAGCACGGAAGAGTGGTAGAAAATTAAGAGGGGATAGCACAGAGACTGAGTTGGGAAGAGGCAAGAGGAGAAGAAAAAAATTAGGAAGAAGAGGAAGTCAATAATAGGAGTGGCAATCAGGAAAGAGGAGAAACAGGAGTAGGGAGGACAAGATGGGAGAGGGACGGGCATGGAAGAGAAGGGCAAGTGGGGAAACAAGGGGAGAAGAGAGGAGAAAAGGCAGCAACAGGCAAGCGGGAGGAGAGGAGAGGAGAGGGTAGAGGCCGGGAAAAAAAAGGTGGAAGAGGGAGAAGAGGGAGAAGAGGGAGGACGGCAGGGAGGAGAGGGAGGAGAGCAAGGCAAGGAGAAGAAGAGTGTGCTGCACGGGCCCGACGCGAGGGATAAAGAGCAAAGGTCGTTGGGCTCGCTCGTTTGAGGAGGAGAGGGACGCAGAAGCGAGCAGAGAATTGAGAGACAGGGAAGGAGAGAAAAGAGTAGGTAAGGTTGACGACTGCAGGACGCCTACCTAGCTATGCGGCTATGTACAAAGTGACGAGGAGCACATGGCAATGCTCCCACATCTACGTCTACTCTCCTCCTGCCGGAGAGGTCGAGATATGGCCGAAATGCACCGACTGCATTCATCTAGAAACCAAAAGCCTGCTGCAAAATCCTCAAAGCGGCCACAGGCAGGACGCTGGCAACGACTAACTACCACATCCGCCTGAAGGAAAAAAGAGGAAACAACGCAGGTACGTCGGGTGGAGCTAGCCCTCCACATTTACGACGACTTTTTCTCCTCGCACAGGGTTCCAAAAATGCCCCAAAAAGCACCAATGGCATTCATCTGGAGAGTTATAGAAACCGAAGAAAAGCCCGCAAAGCACTCGTACACCCACACTGATACACCCGCAGGACCAGATTTGCGTGTTGGAAGAATTGGAAGAAGGACGAGAAGAAGAGACAAACCAGAAGGAGGTTAAGTTACACGGACTAGGGGCAGCAAAACTGGCCAGTGTGTGAAAAGAGAGAAAAAAGAAAGAAACAAAACAAAGAACAGAAATGAAAAGAAAGGTGGAGGGGGTTTACCAAAACTGGGCAGTAGGTGTACAGCAAAAGGAAAGGAGGAAGGAGGAGACAGAAACCTGATACCCCCGCCAAATTCTAACCTCCGCTCTAACCTTCTCAGGGGTATAACTTATACATGATTCTAGGATTCTCTCTCTCTCTCTCTCTCTCTCTCTCTCTCTCTCTCTCTCTCTCTCTCTCTCTCTCTCTCTCTCTGTCTCTCTCTTCCCAGGCCCGCTGGCTGGCTGGCTTGGAGCCCGTTTCCTCAAGGCTGAAGCTCAGTAATGCACCAGTGGTTCCGAGTCTCATTTTCCCTACGCGCTTCTTCGCCTGGCCGTAAGAAATCCGAACCGTCGCAGCTTGCGATTTGCCTGGTGGCGCCAGCCTCATATCGATGGGCACTTTGAGCCTTGCGGCGGCCCCGTGACACATGGCAGTGCGAGTGGAGAAGGGGGGACTTTGAAAAGAGGCTAGGCTGCCCAGGACGGGGTTCAAGCAACGACAACTGTTTGGGGACAATGGCGCCTCAAATGGCCCAGCTCTCCACAAGTATGGCATGCCTGCAAACACACAGACACACGCAAACAAGACAAAAGAAAGAAACGATTACCACACACACGCACAAACACACACACACACACACACACACACACACACACACACACACACACACACACACACACACACACACACACACAACAGAATGCTGAGTTGGTGGGTTGCCCAGTTCTCTCAGGGGTATTGCAAACTTTGGGCGACGTGGCAAGTCCTTAACGAGTCCTTATCCATCGTCAGTCAAATGCATCCTGGACGGAATGTCTGTCCAGGTTCAATCTCCTCCTGATGAGTCAGTGAAAGTCTGACGAAACAGTCTGGCACAGTCCTGAGCAGTAAATGAAAAAAAAAAAGTTCAATGGTTATTGGGGGGAGAGCAGGAAACCAGCAAATGCACCTTGGGCTTCTGCTGAGAGAAAGAATAAAGTACAATAAAGTTGAATAAACTCGTCAATTTCAGTCAGAGTCCCAACATGCCCAGCCTTCCTTTTTTGCTACTGCAACCCAAACGTGTGAAAGAAGAGAGGGCTCTACTTTACAAGGGTACAGAGAAATATAGAGAAAATACGGATTACAGAGATCCCCAGAAGAGGAAAGCAAAACTTCAGGAGTTCCGTAGATTTCTAAATGATATAACTCCAGTGATTTACAATATTGCACATCTAGGCGTACCATATTTACCTTGCAAGCGAAACGAGCGATAGCGAAATGACAGAAATCCAGAATGCAAAATCACATTGAAATTTGAAACCCAGAAAGTCCAACGCTGTCCAGAAAGCAGAAATGCACTGATATCAGTGCCTATAAGGCTATAACCAAAAGGCCTCAGGTAATTCAGAATCGTTTGAGTTCGTTCATCCAGTGGCATGCGGACTCGAACTCAGGTCTGCATATCAACAGTTCATCGGTGTACCAACCAACAGTTCAATGCTGCTTATTCTACCAGTAGTCCTGTAGCCAATGAGGAGGCATTCTAAGGAGTATTACACCCCACTTGTAAAGCACCGATACAGCATCCGACCCTCGCTTTTCCCAACGCTGCTGACTTCTGCCCCGCGCCAAGTGCTGCTGGACTGGTGCAGGCATAAAATCGCATCGTTTTCCCTGGCAGCGCCAGCCTTCTCCTTTGGGGGCAGCCGAGGTCCCCCCCCCCAAAGCCCCCCCCAAACCCCCCCCCAAACCCCCCCCCCAAAGGAGACGCAGCGTGTTAACCGCCGCGTCGGAGCAGAAGGGAGGCTTACATAGCCATCCAAAATGCACTGCTGGAGGTTCACTGTTCATCACGGTATAATAACTACTCAACATTCTACATGCACTTGGACACCTTCGATGACCAGGTGCATTCGGAGGAGTGCAACATTTCGAATGTATCGGGACCATTCTGAGCTCCAGGTAGATATCGAGTGTGGTGCAGTGGAGCAGGGCCTCGCCTAATCGCTGTAGCTAAAGCGCAGGTGTACGGTATTGCCTCGATCCTGGAGGACTGTTGGCAGTCGCACCTACCATCTTCACCCGAATACAACGCCCGGTCATTGCAGCTGCATTTGGTGCACCTTTCAGACCAGATGCAGTGATAATGACCGGGGGGGTTTATCGGGGTGAAGAGGGCAGTCACGGAACAGAGGCCTATCCCAAAAAGCATCGTTTGGAGACAAGCATACCTCCGTCTCTCCTCTCCGCCCCCCCCCCCCCAAATAGAACGTGAGATCACTATCGCTGTGTCTAGACTTAATAGTCGCTCCAAAAAAACAGGCATAATGACCGTACATTCTATTCCGGGGAAAACGGTAGGCGAGCTAAAGATAGGAGCTTGAGGCGGCAAGACCAGCATGGTGTAACGTTAATGAAACCATGGCTCGCTACTTCCTGTTTCTGTCGCAAACTCTTTTTGTGGTGGTATAACGCACAGTCAGGCCACCTGAATTATTAAGCGCGCACCATCATCTCACCAGACACCGACACCTGGATTTCGTTAACTGCGATAACCCAGCCCGGAGTCGTTTGCCATCGATTGTCATGCAGGTAGTATGCAGCGACGACAACAGAAGTAGAAGCCCCAGGGACGGTTTTTTTTTTTTTTTTTTTTTTTTTAATAAAGAGAAGGCATGCACTGACGGCAGAAACTCCACAAAGATGTAATCCTCGTCAGTGAAAGTACGGGCCTCGCTCCACTACCCAACACTCTACATGAAGGTGCCCAAGTGCATGTAGAGTGCTGTGTAGCGGACGGAAGGACATACCGACTGACCGCAGGACGGAATGACAGACGGAGTGACGAACCCACAGACCGGCCGATCGACCAACCAGCACACAGACAAACAGACAAACAGACAGACAAACGGACAGACAAACAGACAAACAAACAGACAGACAGACAGACAAGAACACAAACAAGCACAGGTGACGGTGGAACAAATGCATACCAAGAAAAAAAAAAAGAAGAAAAAAAAAAAAGCGACCTGGACTGGAGGCTGACTGATCCAATACAGCTATACATTAAAGCTTTCTGACGAAAAAGAAAAAGAAAAAGAAAAAGATAGCCAACACCAAAAAGTTGAAAAACTTCCAAAAGAGTTAAAAAAAAAAAAAAGAAAGGCAACAAGAAAAACTTCAAAAGGGAGCACACCACACCGACCTCCTCCGCTGGCCCAACGAGAAACAGACGGAACCCCCAGAACACAACCCAAACCTTCACTCTCAGAGCTAGCTGATATTCAGGCTGACGATCTTCCAAGGATACTGCAGAGGAGGCGGTCTACCTCCCGCAAGCTCCCACCAACCCCCAACCCCCCCCCCCCCCCCCCCCCCCCCCCCCCCCCCCCCCCCCCCCCCTCCTCTTCCCCTGCCCCTTCCTCCCACCCTTTCAACAGGGAGACGATTGATGAGATTTGAAAAATCCGACAGGATGGTCAAATGGAAAACGAGGAGTTCAAATTACATTAAAAAAATATAATAATTCTCACTCACCTTATCCTGGACTGCATTGTTGATTACGATACTGCAGTCCCGTTTCAAATGCCCAACTTGCCCGCAATTATGACACGTGGGTGGGCTCCACGTCCTGTCATCGCAAGCGGCTCCCTGAGGACAACAGGTGTCAGCCAAAGGTGCATTTCTCATTAGTGGATTTCAGAACTCAGCACCTGGTCTGTATTTCAATAGTTTGTTCAGGGGTGTACCGACTGAGCTAGGCCGAGCAGCATTCTCATTAATAATTTTACTTGTTTTTGCTTTTTATTCCATACCATCTATGTTTTTGGGTCGAGGATGGTTCAGGACTTATTTGAAGTTATTTCAAGTGTTTTTAACTCTTTTTCTTCTTCTTCTTTTTTTTTCTTCAAAATTTCATGTCTATCTTTGGGTCAACGATGCCTCATATATAGCACTCGAGTCTCAAAACGATAATTCACACAACTTACACACAGTAGATAGCACGCGGTTGCAGTGCACACAGTGGACAAAACAAGGTCGTAGTACATCCTGCTTTGCAGCAGGCAAAGAACGTCCAAAAGAAAATCTGATGTCACTGCATTTGATTTTTTGAGCACGAACGACCTAAGAGCAGTGAGCTATGTTCATGCTAGGAAAAAAAGCAGCAACCTAGCCTTAACTGTGGCCAGGTTCGTCATTTCCTAGCACAGACATACCACCCACCACACAGTGGAGCCTGCCTGCCTGTCGTACGCTACCACAAACTAGGTCACTCTGGGTGGCCTTTTGGGGAAACCTTTGGACAAACCATGCTCTTTTTGAAGGGGGGGGGGGTGTGGAGGGGGGGCACGGGGTGTACATTGTGCATAGCGAAAAATACTCTCCTTTTTCCATTCACATCTGAACCAATACGTGACTCACGATATCCAACACCATTAAAACATCACGATATCAAACACCAAGACACAGCAGCAAAAGAGGGAGCCAACTTTTCAATTGTGACTTGCCAATATACGAGCACAGGACACGTGCAAAGCAAGTCGCAAACTACTCTCCTTTTTTCCATTCACATCTGGACTAGCAGCAAAAGAGGGAGGCACTTTTTGTCACTACCTAATACCTATAAACGTGACGAGCCTCGCACAGAATATGAAACCGTGGTACTCGTCAACTGTGGATTCTGTTCCCAAACACTCGCCCAGCCGCCTGGTCGCGGGGGGACCTCCCCAGCTGGGTGCCACACAGCCCCAGGGCAGACAAATGAAAGAAAATACTAATAATAAAATAAATTTAAATAACGATAATACATATTAAAATATCTGCCAAAGAAAAACTATGCTGTATAGAACTGCAATGCAAAGAACTTTTGCCTGAGTGTCGTCAACTCAGAACTCCGTACTGAATCAAAGACATAAAAAAAGAAAAAAAGAAAAAAAAATTGAACTAAGCTTTACTAATGCACCCACCTTGAATCCCTTTCAAGTCCGTTCAGGGCCCATTTATATAACCCCCTTCTCCCCCCCTCCCCCCCCCCCCCCCCCCCCCCCCCCCCCCCCCCCC